GCGTTCCTGTTGGAAAATCCAGTTTAAGCCGGGTAGCTGTGCTTGGAACATGAAAGATGGTTTCTGGCTGGTCACTATCTGGTTCAGCTAGACCACTTTTAAGATGGTATGTTGCTTGTCCAATATGGTTTACCAGCTTTAAACCAGCTACCATGAACTAAAACACACCTACCATCTTTCTAATTCCACACCAACACATCAGCATCACCAAAGCATCGTCGTGATTAGGATGTAATTGCAAAACTGTAATACCTTAAGAAGTCCAGCCAGCCATCCTTTACGATAGATGGATCCAACTGCAACGAGAGGAAGTTGTCATTCAAAACTTTCACCGGGCTTCGAGTATTCACGTCCAGTAAAATCAACGTTCTCTCCAGAAAGCTCTGTCTCTTCCCTCCGGACACTGGTCTCCTGTAGGTAGCGGCGGAGGAAATGAGAGACTGGAGTATCAGTGCCAACCACAGTGACGAGCCGAACACTGGGCAGAGGAACTGCCTGGGCATCTTCTGTCCTCAAGCACCGGGCGGAGCGCAGTGAGGGAGATCTAGCAGAGATCTCCTTATAAAACCCGATCAAAAAGCACCTGAAGTGTTTTTATGCCCCTCCTTGAGCGAGGATCACTGGTGTCTCTTTCAGCCCCCCTATCTTCAGCTGTTTTGGAGTTAGCTGGAGTAAACTCACGCCCCAGGGCCAGCCTCCATCACACTGCTGCCTCTGCACCGCCCTCTGTAGTAACGCAACAGGCTCTTAAAGGTAAGATGACTCTTATTTAAAAGAAGCTTCTTCAGCTGGGGGGGTATCTGAAGCATAATTGCTCTGTCTGCACACAAAGTAAAAATGAAATAATAATAATAATAAGACGAAAATAAAATAAATAGACGCAAACAAAAACGTTATGGTTCTTCAGACGTTCTTTGGTTCAGCAAAGGATCCTTTTTGTATTTTTTTTAATCTAAAACCATTTATGGCTGTATATGGTTCTTTGGAGTTAAAAAGTTATTTTTATGTTACATTTATAGGTTCTTCACAATATCTGGTGTTTGTTTTTTAACATCAGCATACATTTTTTTTTTCTGCATTTTAAAAAGATTTTCCATGCAGTGGAGTTAAGCTGTAAAGTCATTTCTGGTTATAATTGGAAAGTTTATTTTTAAAGGCCTGTTTCCTGCTATTTCTATATTTCATTTTTTTTAGTTATATCAAGACTGAATTACTAAAACAGTACGTAATTTTGCTTTAGTTGTCTAAAAAGAAGAGTGACGGTCCATATGATTTCTCGTGGACTAATCAACTGTTCACATTATTTTAAAACTCAGTCCGGTTGTCGTTATCCTCGAACAATTTACTTTTTTTGTGCATAAATGACTACAAATAGTTAAACTTTTAACTCGTTTACGTAAAGAGAATTCAATGTTGAGCTTTCTGTTTTTACAGATGAACATTGTGCAGATTTGCAACTGAAGGGTTATAAAAAACAACCTGTTTTGTGTTTTTTCGTCTCCGGCGACCTATTTACAAGTTGATATAGCCTATTGATATGTTGATATGTATTAACAAGTGATTCTACGTGTACATATGAGGTTTTCTTCAAAAGGACTATGGAATTTTTTAAAGACAATTTACACAGATAAAAGCTTATAAAACCCCGTGGGGGAAATAAAGAAATGCACAATGTTGAAGAATAAAATACAATGCGTAACTAATATATTGCAACAACATATTTATAGGGGGAAAATATATTATTTTCCCCGAGTAAGAAAAACAAACACCTGACAAAATATCAATAACCTACTGACATAATAGCCTCTCTTTTTTAATGAAAATGTGTTTATTGTAATTATCCACATCGGGACCGGTGGTCTCGTAGGAAGCAAACAATTTAGCATACAGAGATCACGAAACTATACTCTAAAAGAAAAAAAAATAATCTCGTAACTCACCTCGTGTTCACCTAACGGGTCCTTATGTCTGAGAACATTTCTTGCTTTATCTTTTTTAAATATTCGTTTACAAAGCCCCCAGCGCGAGCTAGTTTTCCATCATTTCGATAAAATAATTGCAGGCTATATAAACCATTGATAAATATTTAAAATATATATAATTGCTGAGCAACACAGATCGGACGCTATTCTTTGTCCTTTCATTGCTTTATGCACTGCATAGTTTTGCTGTAAAATGTGAATATAAAGTGCTGAACATATGGTTTAGCCTATAAAAATTCGGGTTTATGAGTAGGGTGCATCTTTTGGCGTGACACACCAGCGATCATCTCAATGGGTTACTGGCATACGTCATGATCTTAATAAACCTGAGACGTGCACAGTTCAGTGTATAGACAATAAAATAATGCTCTGTCACCTGACTCACGACACTGATGTATAATAACGGGAACCATGTGATTTGTCCTTCTGTGACTGACACTTTGGCCTAACATCCCGGGCGTCCTGCGACAGTCCACTTACTTTCTGCAGAATAAAGTAGAATAAAACAAAACCGATAGAAAATAAGACTCTGTGCTGTTTTTACAGTAAGTTTCTTGGCAGTAAACCAGACAGGGCGCCTCTCTTTAACCTCAGATTTATGACAAGGTTTATCAAGTTTTATACGAGAAATCTTTTGAAGTTCATTTTTTAGCTTTCTAAACTGGAACTCACCGTTTCAGATATTATTGGGAGTAAGTATAATAGGAAGTAAATATATAGGGTTAACATTCAGTACACAGTCTTGTAGTTTATTGTGAAGCAAAACAATATAGGCTATAGCTATTCCAGATTGTGCATCTTTTCTCCCATTGTGATAAAAAGTGCGAGGTTAAAACTTTTATAAAAATCCTTAAGCTATAAAAACAACATGGATACAGTTCTAAACATTCTAAATAATACATTCAAGTAGTTTAATTATTTCATCCGAATAAATTTGGCGTTTATTTTAGAATGCATTTAGTAAAATAAAAACATTTCAGCTTCACTTAAAAAAAAAACAAAAGAAAAACATTTAATTTCTGTATAAAAGTTTCTGGTTATGACATAATAGCCTACTTACGCGCATTATCAATTCTTAAAATGATGACAATAAGATTATGCTGATAAGATGGGAAGAGAGAGATTTAAAACTAAAGCTCAACATGTTTTACGTTGTACTGCGTTAGATTAAAATTAAAAACACTACAATTATGTTTGTATAGGACAGTATATTTCGGTCGGGTAATTTGTCAAAGTTCACAGGCTAATTGAAAAAAATACAGGTCAACAAATAACATCTTCAGATATTAATACAATAACAGGAAAATGTCTACTCACCTGGTTTAAAGTTCATGTGCACTAAATGAAATAAAATATTTATTTGTAGCAGAAATTAAACAGGATTCTATGAAAGTAAAGCAATTTCCGAAAGTAATCGTAAACTGCATTGGACTAAACAACTAAATAATATGCACGAATGATTGCATACATTTTAATTTTATTTAGTCTTTTGATATCAGTTTTGTATATTATTTGATTTTCCCCTTTCCTCTCACACAACAATAGAAAAACTGTTGAGTCTTTTAGAGTCTTTTAGTGAAACCATCCGAGCACGGCACTCCCACTGTTTCAGACAGGCTCCTAAAGGACGTGCAACATTTCATCCAAGTGGACCATCAATAATTTATTAAGTAAAAGTTTCCTGAGCCTGCTAACTGTACTGTGAGCCCTCACTGCAGACTGCCGACAAGATCAAGGCTTTACATACGGGTCCCTCTGAATATCGACGAGCTGTGAGCAATAAGAGGGAGAAGAAGAAAAAAAAACTCCACATATTTGTCTCTGATTTACGAGGTGGAAGCGAGTGATGCCGAAAGTGGTTAGCACACACAGTCAAACATCTCCAAATTCTTCTTTTTCTCTTAATTTTATCTTACCCATAAACTCTTCAGAACGGTGTTGTCTATCATCTGTGCCATTGGCTGTCTGCTTGAGGCCTGGCTCCAAACACCCAGGGGATAAAAGTAAGTGTTTATGAGACCACAACTTATTGTTTCACCCTGCTGCTGGCGAAGGGAGTTTTTTTTTTCCCCACAGAACGAATTTCTTGCTTTTGGAAACGAAAACGGCTAGAAATGCAAATAGGTGAAGTTTGTATTACAAAATATGATTTAGTGTCTTATAGATGTTTAATATCTAAACACTGATATACACTGATGTCTTCCTATACGTTTGGGTGTGTGTGTCTTTGAATAGCCTATATGTTGAACCACCGAACAAGCGTTCTCTTACAAAATAAAAAATGAAATAAAATAAAATAAAAACTACCAGGAGACATGTCTTATACATATATGTTGTACTCATGCCACTATTTATGTTATATTATTTAAGGTGTTTTGCAAAATTACAATTTTATTTCATTAGTCAAATAGAACAACTGTCTGTAAGTTTCCATCATTCAGTGGCATTCAGTTATCGAAGTCAAGGCAAATTGTTATATAGTGCCACCTTGTGGCGAAGATTCATTATGACTCGTTAACTTTTATTGCACATGAAAGTTGAGTTTGCGTTGAGTTTGAATAGAACATATATTACCTTTTTGGACGGTAAGTAACTTAAGTATTCGTTACTTTACGTTACCTGTATTTTCACAAGGACAAATATTGCATGACATTCACTAAGAATATACAGATGATGATGATAATGATAATAACTAATAATAATAATAATAATATATTTAACTTTTATTAAATGCAAAATTAGTGATTCAGTAAAATTCAGATATCTGATATCTTGGACCTTGTGTTGCTGGTTTATAATAAAACAATACGAGTAGAGCTTTCAATCTCCACAACCACAGTCCCCAACCATCAGAGTCTGTCAATATAAAAAAAGAGTAGGCTACTTTAATAAGTAGCTAATACTGTAAAGTAATACTTTGTTAACTTCTATTACTAAACAATATTAAACCTTAATTATTAAATGTAAATTTAAATTTTAAAAAATGCCCTTTTTAAAGAGTTCTCTATGTTTATATATATGTCCACCGACTTCTTGGGTTTACAGTGGTAAAATAAACAGAAATCGTCTCACATCATCTCTGGCTGGGTGTTTTGGCCCGTTCATCTGCTGGACTGTAGCCTACATATTTCCTGTTTGCTCCTATCGCAGCCCTGCAAAACATCATGACGTCACTGCGGTGTCATTTTTATTTATACGAGACTCCAGCTGTTACATTGACTCGGCAAACAGAGTCGATGTGTTTGTCCGTGGGTGTGTGTCATCGCCACGTGATCCAGCTCGCCAATGTCCTTCTACAACCCACTCAGCATCATGGCTGCGGATGCTCTCCTCCCGCACCGCATCCCCGGACCATGCCTCCTGCCCCTGCTCCTCCTGATCGCCTCCGCTCTCCCCACACCGAGCCACGGGCTGCTGGGCTTCCGACCGGAGGACACGGGAGGAGATCTGTCCGTGCAGAACGGGCTGTTGAAGGCCACCGAAGGGACAAGGTTCATGTTACGCGTGTACTATGCAGCATCCCCGCAGAGGCTCAACCGGACCGTCAGCAGCGCTGGCGGCACAGCCGCGCCGTGGATCGCTTTCATAGAAGAACCGGAGCCAGGCAGAGAGGGGCAGGTGCATCCCAAACACAACTTGTGCGTGGAGGAGAGCGCCAGGAGCTCGGATATAGAGCTCCTCGGATCTTTCAAGTCTGCCTCCAGCCAGAACTCCATCCTGGTGGAGCTGCTCGCCAAAGACCTGCGGAGAGGAGAGAACATCAAGTATTACTCCATGTGCGCCTTTGACGGGATTAAATGGGAGCACTACCGGACGCGCGACTTCTGGCTGGCGGTGGTGGAGCGGCCACCGCATGCGGACGGGTGGCTACAAGCGGGTCTTTCGGTGCTGCTTCTGGCGTTTTCCGCGCTCTTCAGCGGGCTGGTGATCAGCATGCTCGCGCTGGACCCCGTGGAGCTCAAAGTGCTGCAGAACAGCGGCACGCACAAGGAGCAAAAGTACGCGCACAAGATCGAGTCTGTGCGCAAACACGGCAACTACGTCCTGTGCACCTTGGTGCTGTGCAACGTGCTCACCAACACTTTCCTGGTGGTCTGGATGTGCCAGATCCTCGGAGTGACGCCCGTCTCTACTGCGGCGTGCACTTTTCTCATCTTCTTCATCGGAGAGATCCTGCCGCACTCCGTTGCGTCCAGGCACGGGCTGGCTATCGCGTCCAAGACCGTGTGGCTGACCAAGATGCTGATGCTGCTGACTTTCCCCATCACATATCCCATCAGCAAACTCCTAGACAATATGCTGCACCAGGAAATCAGCAACTTCTACACCCGTGAAAAGTTACTGGCTATGCTGAGAGTTTCCGACCCGTATCATGACCTGGTGAAAGAAGAGTTGAACATCATCCAGGGAGCTCTGGAACTCAGGAGCAAAACGGTGGAAGATGTGCTGACCCCTCTCAATGATTGCTTCATGCTGGCCTCGGATGCCATCCTTGACTTCTACACCATGTCAGACGTGATGCAGAGCGGATACACTCGCATTCCTGTGTTTGAGAACGAACGGTCTAATATTGTTGATATACTGTTCGTCAAAGATCTGGCCTTTGTTGATCCAGATGACAGCACCCCGTTAAAAACCATCACTCAGTTCTACAAGCACCCGCTGCACTGTGTCTTTACCGACACCAAACTGGATGCAATGCTGGAGCAATTCAAGAAAGGTAAGATGTTTGTATATCCTATAGGACTCCAGTTGTGTAAAGTTACAACAGGAAAAACCGTTTAAAATCAGTCTGAAAAAGGGTAATTCACACAAAAATCTTTTCTCACCTCAGTTCCAAACCTGTATGCAGTTCTTTCTTCTGTGTAACAAAATATACTTTAAATATCATGTTAATAAAACATCTGACTTAATTAAATTAAATTTGTATGGATGAAAAAAAAAAACACATAGCGACATTCCAAAATATCTTATTTTGCATTCCACACAGAATTAAGATGTGCACACAATTAAGAATGCAAAAACATGAAGATGATATATGATGACAGTTTTAATTTTGGGGTGTACTGTTCAGTAACTTCAGTGTATTGGAGAACATATTGTACTTTAAAAATTATGGAATTGTAAATGAAAATCTGCTGGTTAAATCTTGTCTATAACATATAATTAATACATATATATTGTATGTAATAACATAATAATTAACATTAATAATTTTATGTTTATACACACACACACACATACACACACATATATATATATATATATATATATAATTTTATTTATTTATTTTTGACATCATACATTGCACATTTAGCGTCAGCACAACTTCAGCTGACATCTGCAGAGAGGCTGGCAGCTGGATTCCAATAATTTGAATCTGTTCCCATGGCAACCATTTTCATTCCGTCATCATTGCTTACTGTTCACCAGAGAGTTCCTATTAGTCATATTTTGACACGCCTTTAACTGAAAATCCACAAATTACTCATGCCAAGCACTGACCTGTGTGGAATACAGGGATGCATATCATTTCCTCTTGATCCTGCCCTGCACAAAGTCTATAGACCAGGGGTGCCCAAACTCGGTCCTGGAGGGCTGGTGTCCTGCAGTGCTGTGATGCATTCTGATGCCTGGTATGATATCATAATTTGGCCTCTACTGCATCACAGTGACAATTAATGTCTTATTGAGATTGATGGTGTTTTCTGTGAAGGCACAGAGTCAAAGCTACAGAGCAGCTACAGCAGGGTGCAGAGTGCCATAATTCATCTGTAATGCAGTAACCTGTCAGATGTACCCACTTTCACAGGGTACAAGATTCACCGCAGGGTACAAATGTTCCTACGCAATAGATTTAGTAAAGGGATCATCAACAGTATCAGATCCATAACCGCCGTAGGAATCCAGGGCAGTTTAGGCAACGTCCAGACCAAAAATAGGATTTTCAGCACAGACTGACACCGCACTGCACTTTAACCCTGGATTGAGTTTAATCTTTGTGCAAGACTTGGTTTTCCACCACACAGCAGAACTGTCTGAGAGAATTAATTAAACTTAGAACTGAGGTTAAAGTTTACCTAGTGGACTGCTCTCAATTTTCAGTAATCGCTCCATTTAAATGGAACTGTAAAGGATGTATGTTGTTACAGTATTTTTTTTCATGGAAACGTTTAGGAATCTTTATACACCTCTTTTATGACAGTTCATAGTGACCGCAGCTGTTAAAGTAATAGTTCACCCAAAAATGACAATTTTCTGAATATGTCCTCACCCCCAGGCCTAGTTTGTTTCCCCAGTTTGTTGCTTAATCAGAACAGGTTTGGAGAAATCTACCTGTAGCATTACATCACTTGCTCACCGATGGTTCCTCTGCAGTGAATGGGTGCCGTCAGAATAAGAGTCCAGACAGCTGATGAAAACATCACAATAATCCACAAGTAATCCACACAAGTCCAGTCTATCAATTAACATCTTGTGAAGTGAAAATCTGTGTGTTTGTATGAAACAAATCCATCATTGAGATGTTTTTAACTTCAAACTGTTGATTCCAGATGACCTGAGGGTGAGTACATTTTCATTTTTGATATTGACAATTATTCTTTTAAGCGCCAAAAAATAAAATGGAAAAATAGCATGCAGTTTAGCTGTGTAAAGACATCATACAGGTTTGGAACGACATGAGGTTTAGTAAATGAAGTAGTGTCATTTTTGGGTGAACTATCCCTTTAAATCCAAGTGCTTGTCTGTATAGAAACATCAGGGTAGCTGCAGCAGTGACCTTTTGGTCCAATCAGTGTCCCAGCTTGGGACCATATGGACAAAAAGAGCAGAGTGAAAGAGAAGAGGATCTGCTTCCTCACACAGCGAGCACCCAGCCTGAGCACTAAGTGTATATGTACTTTTAAAAATAGCAGAAGCTATTATTCTTTTAAGAACATAACAGATATAAAATGCTAAATTTAAAACATACACGCAGATGCTGAACAGCAGGTAAAGGTGAAGCTGAATAAAACAGCCTTTTTCTGAAGACTAAGTTACTGAAGTGGTAAACTAAGTGTATATGTACTTTTAAAAATAGCAGAAGCTATTATTCTTTTAAGAACATAACAGATATAAAATGCTAAATTTAAAACATACACTGGTTATTTACAAACTGCTACTTCACCCAGTTCAACCCAACAGGTAAATTCTCCAAAAGTGTATTACTTTATTTGTTCTCTGGACCAAACATTTAAATTTAAGAATGTTTTTAACCCCACTGACTTTCATTGGGAGGAAAAACCAGAGACATTTTTCAAAATATCTGCTTTTGTTAATTTTTCCTTTTGTGTGTACTATACCTTTAAACATCAAAAGTATTCAAAGATAGGCAGAGTGTAAGCTATGTGATAAATTTAGAAACAAGAAATCACACAGCATTTGACTGATTGTGATTTGGTTGGCAGTCTCCATTACTTCTCTCTGTTCTTTCCTCTTCTATCTCTGCTAGCCTGTCCTATAAAGACAAAAGGCCGATAAAAATACATTTTAAAAGAACCAAGAACATTAATGGCATGCCCATAGATGTTTGCTAATGATTCCACTGGGGTTTATGCAGAAAATGGTGCTAAAAACAAACAATCCAAAGGCTTAGGGTTTGTCTGAAAATAGTTTGCTTTGCTAAAAAATTGGCCAAACTTCTAGAAATGTAAACCACACCAGGAAATGAAAGGAAAGAATTTAGTTTATATTCAGTTCATAAATTATCAGCTAAAAATTATGTGAGATTTTGAACTGTTGGTGGCGCTAGAGAGTTATAGGGAGTTGCCATAGACTCTACCAAAAGGGGAAAAAAAATAGGTGCCTACACACCTTTAGTGCTTGGCCCCTAAAGTGTATGGCCCCTCAAATTTCAGGATCAATAGCTACATAATTCCTATTCCTCAAACTGTATTCTGCATGAATAATCAGACCTTGAAGTTGTACCAAACCTGTAGGAGTTTCTTTCTTCTGTGGAACATAACAATTATATTTTGAAAAATGTTGGTAATTTAATAGTTGATGGTCCCCATTGACTTCCATAGTATGGACTTCTTCAAAATATCTTTTTTCGTGTTCAGTTGAAGAAAGAAAGTAGGCTAATGCAGGTTTGGAACAACATGAGGGTGAGTAAATGATGGCAGAACTTTCATTTTTGGGTGAACTATCCCTTTAAGCTCAAATGCAGGTCAAATGCAACACGAATGCTGCACAAGCATCAAAATTAAAAATGCCTAAAACATGATTTTAAAAAAGCAATTAACACAGAAAATCATGCATTTATTTGCATATGCATTTTTAGGACAAACTGTGCTATTGGATCCTATTTAGAAATCATTCAGGCATTTCCTTCTGTGTTTTTCTTTCCGTTTTCAGCTACACACTGCTTTATTTAGCATTTCCCACCATACTGCTCTGCCATGCATCACATGAGTAGAGTATAGTGCCAGCTTTAACGAGTTCATTTGCTGGCACAGCAGCTGAAGGAATTGCAGGGACATCCGCGTGGGCTCAGACCCCCTGGCTCCGCGTGCATGCGTGCGTGTGTTATATAATAGCGTAGTGATGTAATGCGGTTCCCTGAACATCAGATTTGAGGTGTATCGAGCCGAGTGCTGCATTGCCCTTGCTCTCCACCTGACTCCTGCAGAATTCTTCACTTCACTCAGCGTGTGCCGCTACCATAGAGACCACAGCATGAGAGAGGCTTCTGTCCGTTAAGTTCTCCCTATCCAAAGGTTGAGGATTATGTATTTAATCTTCTCTGCCTGAAATGATATTCCAAATCTGGCTGACTGATGATTAACAGAAATGCTAGCTGGGATGTTTCGTTTGTTCAATTGCAAAGAGCTTCTGTTTGGGAATTCAGTGAACAATCTAAGCAACACTTATTGTGCTTCATAAGGTTTTTAAAAGGGTCATATATTTGTTTTTTGTTTTTACAATAATTTAGCTTTTTATGACGTTTTTTGCTGCTGTTCCTTTAAGATTCCAAAAGTTCCCTCTTTGCATGTGAAATGAGATATAGGTTTGCTGCAGCAACAAGCTGCTGGTTTGCAGTTGGTGACAATATATATTTAGCCTCATATTTCAATAACAGACTGTTGGCAAAGCTGCATTACATTATGAGAGATTTATAAAACAATCTGTTGAAATGACCAGACTTCAACTGTTAGTTTCTAATGACTCCTCATAAGGCTCTGGTAAATATTAAATAGCCATTGTTAATATGTAAATGCATCTGACATTACAACATTGTGGATGTGCAGAACAAGTGTGTGTGTGTGTGTGTGTGTGTGTGTGTGTAGCCTATATATGTACACACGCACACACGCATGTTTATGTAACAATGTTTTTGAAAGTCTCTTATGCTCACAAAGGCTGCATTTATTTAATCAAAAATACAGTAAAAACTTTAATATTGTGAAATGTTATTACACAAACTGTTTTCTATTTTAATGGACTTTAAAATAGAATTAATTTGTGATGCAAAGATGAATTTTCAGTATTATTACTCCAGTTTTCAGTGTCATGTGATCCTTCAGAAATCATTCTAATAATATTAGTATTATATAATATTAACATTTCTTATTATCAATGTTGAAAACAGCTGTGCTTAACATTTTTGTAGGAACCATAATATTTTTTTTTTTCAGAATGCCTTGATTTGATAAAAAGTTAAAAAGAACAGCATTTTATATAAATAAAAATCTGCTGTACATTACAAATGTTTTACTGTCACTTTTGATCAGTTTAATGCATCCTTTAAAAAAAAATTAAAATGACCCTAAACTTTTGAACGGTAGTGTATATACAAATATATAAATACAGAAAATTTCACATTTTGGCATCATAATTATTTAATATTAAGGGAGATGTGAACTAATGTCAGAATAGCCATTAATGCCTGAGCAGCTTTTTAAAGACTCAAAAATAGCAAATTCCAACAGTTTCCAGGTTTTTAGAATGCTCAGCTTCATCATCAGAGCCACAGGGCTCCCGAACCCCATTGCATAACCCCTCAGCGCTCTTTACATAAGGTCAGGTCTGAATCTTCAGAACTGTCATAGTTAATCTCTTCACGAGCCTTCATTTCAAGCACTCTTTATGTCATGTGACAAATCAGTTTAACAGTGCAAAAGACTCTCTGCAACAGAATTCACATACACAAGTATCCAAAGGGTAAAATAAATGGACAGGGCTTCATTTACTAAAGTTGCGTGACTATTGATTTTGCACACTTTGCCTAATAACTTCATTGATTTATGGATTGATTTAATAGCACTGCAGTTTTGTTAAATTGGCTTTAATATACTTTGCATAAATGAGGGTGCAGATTAACATTAAATGGCAATTGCATATCATGCTATGATGCTACTATGTCTTTCTCTGGCACTGTAAAGGGAAATCTCATTTGGCTATCGTACAGAGGGTCAATAACGAAGGAGAAGGAGATCCTTTTAATGCTAATCAACATGCTTTTAGTCCCAGTTTCCTCATATGAGGACATGTATGAAATCAACATCCTGTTTCGTAACAGAAAGTCATATTTTGATTTGAAACCCCATAACATTTTCCTGAGATGTTGATTTATGACAGACAGTTTAAAAATTAGATTTAAATGATAATTACAAAATATTATCATATTTCCATAAGAGTGTCACTAAATTAATATCAGACATATTTGAAGACCAAGGAGAGGGAGTGGTCGTGGTGAAACATCCAAACATTTAGCGTCTCTGAAAAGCCCTGAATGTGCTCAGTACAGGACATCCAGACTTAAAACTGTGGCATGTATAGTCTCAGAGAAATACACCAAAATATAATGTCCTCATATGAGGTCACAGGGTAATATAATAAAAACATAAGATATAATAAAACACATAAAATATCATTTGAACAATAATTTGAAATTTCATTTCATTTTAGCAATAATGGACACCTTGCAAAACAATTGTGCAATAAAACTTTATTAAAAAGTAAAACTAAAATACCAAATATCAGAATGAATATCCTATATTCTTGAATTATATATAAAAAATAACAATACATAAATAAACCTTAATCCTATAAGAAAATTGTTATGCCCTTAATGACCTCAATTATTGTTATGACCTCAAAGTGCGTTTTGCCACAAATTTTATTTATTTATTTATTTATCTATCTATTAATTAATTAATTAATTTATTTATTTATTTATTGTGTATGGCTAATCATTTCATTTGTCTCCTTTTGTAATAAAAATAAAGATCTATAAAAATTGATGGCTCTAAAAAAGCCTATAACATTTATGCACATTTCTGATACAAAAAAAGTGTATTATATTCAATCACAGATTCTTGAGACATGGGACAAAACATGTCCAGCAATTGTAACTGCTATTAGGTTTAAAAATAAAAACATTTTCAATTGTAAATGTTATGATGGATTAATAATAGAATGTATTTATCATAATTATCCCCTTCAATTTAATTGTATCATTATTATTATATCAAATGTATGACACTTATTGCATCAAGAGTCATTACATCAAAAACAGTGTGTAAATGGATATTAAAAACAGCAATAAAATGGATATTAAAATGTTTGTTTTTTTTTAATGATGAAAAAGAGCTTGTTTTATCAAAAGCAACACTTAATAATATCTCATATCAAAGCAAGGTTGTTTTCCAAGGACAATTATAATTACTATTATAATATATAATTATAATTACTAAATACACAGCATATATTGCTTTTGTGGATTGATAGTCATCACTTCTAGCTAGTTAGCTAGAAGCTAACTAGTTAGCTAGTAGCTAGTTAGGGTTGAGGGAACATAAAGGAACACAAAACACTGGATAAAACATATCTATACATAATACAGTTCGTTTGTATTCTGATCATATGTGTTCTGATCATTTTTGGATCATTTGTTAAGAGTTCCAATGATACATCAAAAACAAAAGTGAATTTTGAAAAAAAAAAAAAGCTTTATAAACAATAACATACTGTTTGTTGTGTTTGTTTTAATACAGTAACTGATTGATTCAATGTATTTGACAGGCTAGATAAAATGACTACAAATTCAGCTTTTCGTCAGCTCCGTCAGATGAATCTTTTGATAATATTTATGTTATTTTAGATTTGTTGAGGAATTGTTGGTCACATATGAAATGTAATCTGTCTGCTATCATGAGAATATGTTTTGAAATGTTAAAAACATCTTGATTGCTGTTAAAGATAAAATGATATTACACAGTCCAAGGTAAAAAGCACATTTTTATAAAAAAAAAATAAAAGAGAGAGAGAGAGAAAAGTTGGGAGGTTGAATCAAATAATAGCTCAGTAGCTTAGTACATGTAAAATACAAAAATGTAGTTTCATTTGTTTGAGTACACGGTTATCTTTTTTCAATATTTCACCCTGTTTTGTCCCACTTCTCAAGAATCAGTGCAATGCAATTATCTTGAGTGACATACTGTATAAATTGCATGGAGATCAATATAACAGTTTTTACAATTATTTTATTGTCTATATTTTGCATCTCAAGCATATTATATGCTCTCATTCACTTGTTGTTGGTTTGAGGTAAAGCCTATCCAGTATAATGTATTGCTGTTGTGTTGTGGCAGCTGATAACCGTACGAAGAGGAGAGTGTCTCACCATGAGAGGAAACAGCAAGATTTCTCCATATTTAAACTGTCAGAGAGTGAAATGAAGGTCAAAGTTTCACCACAGCTTCTGCTCGCAACACATCGCTTTCTAGCAACAGGTAATCTCAATTCACAGTTGTGGGAGAGAATCAAATATTTGACATTGTTAATGATCAATTCAGACAGTTCTGGTTGTTTTAGGTTTAAAGCACATACAGTTCAAGACCAAAAGGATGTGTTCACATTAATTTGACAATCTAGTGAATAGGCTACTCATTTGGTGCAGCATTGCAAATCATCAACAAATGATGAAGGATCAGAATGCTGCTGTTTCATTGTCAATATCATTAATGTGTTTGTTATTCTCTCTGTTCTCTTTATTTCGGTAGAAGTAGAACCCTTTAAGTCGACGCATCTGTCAGAGAAGATCCTCCTGCGGTTGATAAAGCACCCAAGCGTGGTGCAGGAACTCAAGTTTGATGAGAAAAACAAGCGATCACCAAAGCACTACCTCTTCCAGCGCAACAAGCCTGTGGATTATTTCGTCCTCATATTGCAGGTAAAGTACTACAGGTTTTAAAAGCCATTATAAATAAGTATAAATAAATATAAATATTTTTTAGCAAAAAATAACATTTGTTCAAATTGTCATGCAGATAAAGTCATTTATGACAAAATTATATTACATATATTATAAATTATATTACTTGTAATAAAATGCAAAATAAAAGCTTTTTCACTATTGGCCCCCGCTGTAAGTGGAGAAAAATGCTGTATTCATCAGTTTTCAATGCAGTAATTGCAAACAGAGGAAAATAAATAATTGTATTAAATCACAAAAAAATATAAAAATATATATATATTTGTAACAAATATTTATTATGCTAATCAATTAATTTATAGAAAAAAAGATTAAAATGTATGACAAAATTAATAAAATGCAAAATAAAAGTAATAATAATAATAATAATAATAATAATAATAATAATTGTACCCATGCTGTAAGAGGAAAAAATGTCACTTTCCTAAATTTTTATTATTGCAAACTGAGATTTATAACTAGTTTTATTAAATAATATATCATAAAAATAATTTCAAAACTGTTATGTTAATCAATTAATTTATAGAAAAAAAATATTACAATTCATGACAAAATTATAGTACATTAATAAAATGCAAAATGAAAGCTTTTTCACTTTTGTACCCATGCTGTAAGTTTTTTATTATTGCAAACTGAGATTTATAACTAGTTTTATTAAATAACATATTATAAAAATAATTTCAAAATTGTTATGTTAATCAATTAATATATGACAAAATTATACTACATTAATGAAATGCAAAATAAAAGCTGTCACTATTGGACCCCACTGTAGGGGGAGAAAAATGTCATTTTCCTCAGTTTGCATTTTGTTTATTAATAAAACAATATTTGAAAAGATTATATATTTGTTCAAATATATACTAATGCGTATGCTATGCTATAACATATACTTATGCTATATATATATATATATGCTATATATAGCATATACTTATGCTAATCAAAGAATGTATGGCAAAATTACATTACATTAACTGCATGCAAAATAAAAGCATTTTCACTATTGAAACTCACTGTAAGTGGAGATTTTTTTTCTCAGTTTTCATAATTGCAAACTCTCAAATTTGAAATGTGTGAACCATCTCTCTCTGGCTGCAGGGTCGAGTGGAGGTAGAGATCGGTAAAGAGGGACTAAAGTTTGAAAATGGGCCATTTACATACTACGGCTTACCTGCTATCATGACCATCCTACCCACAGGTTTGTTTGCGGATTCAATATTTGCCAGAATTCATCACTGGAGCTGAACAGAGCCTCATTAAATAAATCAACCTGAGTTTCCAGAATATCTCGAACAAGGTTTTTCTGCAGTAAAAATATTAATGAGCAATTTAAAAACTCTGAGAGGCGTTGAGCATGGAGCATACGTGACCCCTCTAATTAAGGCAGCAAATCTAAATAGAGCGGCTATGTAAATCTTAGGAGAGTAGTGTCGGGTAATTACAGCGTCTGCCCACTCAAGCAAAACGGCACGTTATTATATAAGAATGAAAATCTCATAAGCTTAGCATCATGAAAATGTAAAAATAACTTAAAGGATTGAGCCTTTAGCTCTTGTTGAAGAGATTAATTCAGAATGAATGTGCGTTAAATGTAAGCTAAGTGTCTGTGTCATATAGTCTGTCTCTCTGGTGAGGGTTTTCTCTGCATCTCTCTGTGATATAAACACACAAAGGAAAGATGCAAACACATACTTTATACCAACATAATGAGATTATGAGATATGACATCTACGTGGACTCAAAGTGATTCTGTGTTGGGCTATTTTCTTTTTTCTTTTTTTTGCTCTCATAATCACGGTTGTACACACACAACACTAAAAGGTTTTCTGCTTTTTTAGCATTTCATATCCTATTTTTAACATGCATTTTTTGCCACATTTTAACAGTTAAAAAATCTAAAACTTCATTGAAAAAAATACTTTGAGAAGCAGTATTGTATAGATAATATATAGACTTCTTTCCAGAGAATGTATCTTTAATAGGAGAGCATTTTGTCTTACTGCACCGGCAGAATGTTTCAGTTATTTTTATGCATAAACATTAAAAAACAACTGATTCAAAAATAAGCAAAAAATCTGCCAAACGTACAGTACAAAAGACAAGATAAACTTAATTTCAGGATACAGTGTATGAAAACAAATCACAGTATCTTATGCAGTGTTTCAATTCAAGTACAACCATTTTGGTTCAAGGATTTTTAGATATTTATTAAAAGTTCAATAAAAGCCCACTTTTGCAGTGTCCCGAAGCCCGAAGTTGTGTCCATTTAGCTGAATTTTCGAATATATAAGTGCATTTACTCCAAATGTGTACTGAATTAATTTTAAAAGCACACTGAGGGATTTTTTTCGTCATAAAAAAAAAAGATGTACCTTTAAAAATTAAAATCTAAAATAATCTCAACTATGAAACTATTTCTAAAGTACAAATATTTTGGTTCAAGGATTTTAGATATTAAAAAAATTAAAAACTCATTAAGAGCTCACTTTTGCAGTGAATAAACGAATCGAATCAAGTTGTGTACATTTGGCTGAATTTTTGAATATGTAGTCCATCTCAACATATAGGTATATATATATATATATATATATATATATATATATATATAGTAAACACACTCTCTATATGATATATATATATATATATATAAGTATATATAGTAAGCAGACTCTCAATATGCTAGGTAAAGAAAAATTAAATATCTAAAGCAATAATCAACTGAATGACTTCTACTGGTGTGATCCAGTCCACAGATCACCGTCCCGGAGCAGCGGTCTCAATCATTCGGATACTACAATCCACAGAGGCAGTCTGGGTCAACTGAGCATAAGCGGAGGACCGTATCTACCAGACTACTCAGTTCACCAGCTCACAGACCTACAGATCATTAAGGTAAACTTAACCATGCTGAGAAAAAAAAACTGTTTTTCAGACAGCTGGATGAGGGGAAAATTCAGGGGCATGTTATGTTTCATACCCCAATATTAAAAGAAATCAGGATTGTATTTTTATTTCATTTTAAGACCATTCAAGTTTTTAACCTAAATTCTCATTACTGTAATGCTGAAAGAGAATTTCATTCTTATCATAGTAATGAAAATAATCCTGTCTAGATACATTATTCTTTTTTTTTCCTTTTATTTTTTCAATAAGAAAATAATACATAATTTATTTTTTACTACATTTTGATTTTATTTAAAAAATATTTATCAAAAATTCAATATGACCATACTTACAATTGTACTTTGCATATAAATAATTAATGACAGTGTGCACAAGGAAAAAGCATAAAAGCATATGTTAATTTATCATTTTAACATTTTTGTTTTATTTTTGCATTAAAAATTCATATATAAAAATACAAGTAAATTTGATTAAAAAAATAACTAAAAATTAAAAATTTACAATTTCGATATAATACATTTTAATACAATATAATTAGACAATGCAACATTTACTTTTGACTTATGGTCCACAATCATGTTTCGATTTCTTAATGGGGATTTGGGGTGAATTGAAAAGAAAATTCATTTTCTTTATTAAAAATGTAGTCTTTTTTATTGATTTGGAGGTCAAATATGGCCCAGGTCCAATTTTTTTGAGGCTGATCCAAGAAGGACTCCCATCAAGTTTTTAGTTTTCGGTGTTCTTTAGCTTTGCTCCAAAAGTGCTAAAGTCAATACTTTTTAATAACGTTTATGTAAACAATAATGTAACATTCTAATGCTATATGTTAAAAATCAAATAGAATTATGAGATGTCTCAGTATGCTATGCTATTCTTTCCAGATCACTCGTAACCATTATCAGAACGCCCTGACAGCTACACGCATGGACAGCTCTCCGCAAACACCCGACGCAGAGAGTCAAGCGCCCGGGGAGAGAATGACAATCCCTGAGACACGTTCCAACAGCATCGCCCTTCCTCTGACAGAACCACGGCCCTGTCTGACCCGATTCCACCAGCACAGCCACCTCTACAGACAGCCAGACAGCACCAGCACCCTTAATGAGAGGAACCGCATCGTCCGTGAGTGCATTCGCTTCTCATTTATAGCATCTTTCTCGGGTCCTCTTGGTCATTTTTTTAGGCAGCAAGTGAATATTAAAACAGTTTGACATGAAAGCACGTGGAAGTAGATTTCCTCGGGAGCTAGGAAACAGTCAGAAAAGCTGTATATGACAGACCATTTGAGCTCATCTCCAAAGGCTTCTGAGCTTTTCTGAAGTTGGCAGCGATTGCATAACCACGATGTTTGAGGAACACCAAAAGAGTTGTTTTGTAAGTTTGAATACACCCAAATATAACCATAACATATCAATGGCAGTCACTGTAATCTTTGTGGAAAGCGAGGATGCAGATAATGCATGTTGGTGGTACATGTGATGGAATTAGGACGTTTCTCACAGCTTCCAAATGCAAGACAAGACAGATGGCCGAACTCTAATCTTCTTTCTAAAACTAATCAGACTTTGCGTGAAAAGGTTTAACTCTGATTCTTAAGCTAGAAATCACTTAGTTCAGTTTCTTCTAATAAATGAGGCCTGTACTAAAGTGTACACAGGATCAAATGCAGGGTAATCAAATTACACTGTTAAACAATATCATATCAATGTTTGCATTTATATGAAATGCTACTGTAAATATTTAATACACTTTGCGTGCAATACAGATTATAACGTGATATGACAGCAGTTTCACAACCAGAGTCGGAGTTTTAATTAAAACCTCCATGAAATCATAACGGTTTGGCTTTTTGTCAAAATTTGCTATGAGGTTATTTGAAGTCAAGTGTAAAACAGCCAAAATATTGACTTTTTTTTTTCCTGGACTAAAAAAATTACCAAAAACATTGCATAATCTTTAATATAATTTAATGTAGACTTTAAATTTATTTACAACTGTACTTTTCATTTAAATAATAGTATACATGCTAATTATATAAGATGATTTTTTTTACATGTTTATTAAAGGGGTCATATGATGCGATTTCAAGTTTTCTTTTCTCAAAGCATCATATGACCTCTTTAACATAATCAATGCATAATGTGCTTTCTTGAAGGAAACAGAAATACAATCATTTAACAGCATGTCTTTAAAATATTGTGTGACATGAGTTTTGAAAAAATAAAATAAGATTTGGGGTGTTTATTTTTGTCTAATAAATATGAAAATCTCTTACAGTCTGAAATATACCACGGGCCACCAATCGAATGATAGAACAGTAATCAGACAGCAGCAAAAACACAAAATAAACAATTAATCTTACCGTCCACATCCTGATGATGACCGCAGGCCTCTTCATCAGGATCTTCTCCCTCAGATCTTGACTCAAAGAGATATAGTCGTGATCCAAAAACAAATGCAGAATCATTTTCTTCTTCATCACTCGGGAGTGGGTGAGAAATAGTCACGGTTCATTGTAAAGAGTCTTCATTGCTTTCATCCTCAGCAAAAACTGTGGTTAATCTCAGGTTGTCATGAAAATTAAAGGCTACTGGTTGTTTTAAAAAAGGTCAAGGCCTTCAATGCATCCACACCAACTTCCTGTTTCAATAGCAAATGTGGCTGCAATTGCATACTAGCTTTATATTGCAGAAATAGTAAGAGTAGTATGCTAGTATGCTGTTTCATATGTCAACACAGGTCAGAAAATTGTTTGGTTAATCAACTTCATTTTTATGTCAAAAGACATGGACTCAAAACTTTTTTTAATCAGGTACTCCTGCATAGTGCTACAAACTCCTGTCTTGTTTATTTCCTGTGTGATCATCTGACTCTGGCTCTATGGCTCCCCCTGTAGGAAGTAAGTCAGATGGACAGAAGAGCCCCAGTGACTCTGTGTTCCTGCGTATGGATGACACCCCATATATAAGAGACAATCGTGTGGAGAGAAAAGAAGGCACTGGTGGGTGAACTGAAGGATGATTTCTGAAGCCAAACATGACATAATTTTATGCACCTATATACAGTGTTTACCTCAGTAAGTCCAAATAGGAATAGAAAAGCTGCTAAAAACCAAATCAAAAGAAGAGACTGGGCATTAGGTGAACATAAATCACTGTAGAAACTGCACTTTTTTATTTTATTTAATATATTTTATTTTAACATTTATTTTTTCGCCCTCATGCCTTTTCAAACCTGTATGCTTTCCATGGACACACAATGAATATTTGTTAAGAATATTCTTTTTTATTATTATTATTTTCAAAGTAATTTTACATTTTTGTCTGTTTCTCAAGCAATTATACGACTTCAAGACTTTAGAATATAGTTTTTAATACTGTAGTTGTATAGACTACTTTAATTATATCTTTATGCAGTAAAAGGTTCCTAAATATTCTTCAAAATATCTGTATGTCTTTAAAAGTAATAAATACAGCATACAGGTTACAAAATGGCCTAAGGGTGTGTAAACAATGCCAAAATGTTGATTTTTGGGCAAACTATTCCTTTAAGAAGGGTGGTGGTCTGCTCTCTGACTAAATGCACCCAAACTTTCAAACACTGGAGTGGCTGTTTGACAGCGAGCGAGACATTTGACAGACTGCAGGGAGAGGAAATGCATGAGCTCTAGTCTCTGTTTATACGACCTGCAAACGAATGTTGACATCAGGCTAGAACTGTCCATTTCAGCTCTGCTTGTTATGTCTGGAGGTTAACGGGAATGACTAAATCAAGAATCAATGCAGTTTGGATGTATAGAGAAGGGAAGGGAAGGGAAGGGAAGGGAAGGGAAGAGAAGAGAAGAGAAGAGAAGAGAAGAGAAGAGAAACAACTAACCAATGACTTTCCAGCTCAGTTTGTCATGTGATCGTGGCCCGTTGTCATAGTGTGTCCGATCTATTTCAGATGCGACGGCCGTACCCATGGAGACGGGCCTGTCTACATCCCAGCTCATCAGCTCTCACTCTCTGGGTGGCTCGGATGAGAACCTGGGGAAAAAACTGCTCCGGAAACTCAGTGTGTATCAGCTGCCAAGCACCTGACTGAATCGCAAATTTGTGAATCTGCCCAGTAATGACACGGCACCTGCATTTACAGCTGCACACACACACACACACACACACCTGCTTTTAGTCTGCATTTTCAAACGCCATCTGTTTCCTAGCAACCAGCCAGACAAACTGCAGCCCACACTTCTGTTTAATAAAAAAAGACTCACTCAGAACAATGTGATTTACGCAAGTAGGACATATTTCTGGGTCCGCAGCCTTTGTTGCTCCTGGAAAAACATTTTTATCAAGAAATAATTCCTGCTGTTAAAAAATTATGTCGGAGGCTGGTGCTCCGGCAAAGCTTTCTGACTAGCTTAACCACACTAAACTCGTCAACCGTCATCGGTTCAATAATGTTTCCTACTTTCATTCATGCATTTAGTAGACACTTTTATAAAGCAATTCAAATTGTAAAATTTGAATATAGGACAATATTTGGCCGAGATACAACTATTTGAAAATCTGGAATCTGAGGGTGCAAAAAAAAACTAAATCCTCCTTTAAAGTTGTCCAAATTAATTCCTTAGCAATGCATATTACTAATCAAAAATAAAGTTTTGATATATTTACTGTAGGAAATTTACAAAATATCTTCACTTAATATCCTAATGATTTTTGGCATAAAAGAAAAATCGATCATTTTGACCCATACAATGTTTTTTTGGCTATTGCTACAAATATACCCAAGTGACTTAAGACTGGTTTTGTACTCCAGGGTCATATATGATTTATGTATTGACATTTTCTTAATTATTATATTAATTAAATACATAATATTTAATATTAATTAATTTAGTATGAATTATTTTTTATAAATCTGTCTTTTATTTATTCTTTCTTGAAAGTCTAAAAAACCTTAAAACTTGAAAACCTTGAAAGGGCTTTTCAACAATTTTTCAAACATGATTACAGTTAGAGTATATTAATTTAAGTAGTACATTTACAGTAAATGAATTTAAATTCCAGTATATATAGAAAATATATAATATTTAATTTTCAATGTTAATTTTTATTTTTTATTTTTATTTTAAATATGCCTTTGTCAAGCTAACATTCAAAGGATTGACAAACATTACTCTCCTGGTAAAAAAAAAAAGTAGTTATGTGAATTTCAATTGATTTTATACTTACATTCAAATTCAAATTGCAATTCTGCATCCTGTTTCAGTTCAAATTTAATTCAAATTCAGGACTTGTATTGAAATTTTAACAGCATTTTTACTTAAATTCTGAATGGTGCACAACCCTGCCAGAAACATGTTCTATTTGCTAAAATACAGTCTTCATCAATCAGACATTTTCATCACTTATTCATACTTATCAGTTGACAGCTTTTTTACTTCAAATATTCAGGTCAGTTCAAAACTAGGCATTTTACATTTCTCTTTCTACTCTCCAGGCAACAAAAAAAGAAAGAAGTCTTGTGATGGAGATAAACCTTTGGAAGACAATCCTGAACAATCACAGGTGAAGACCTAGCATTCATTGTACGGGTTTGCTTCTCTTTTGCTCTCTCACCTGCTTCTCCCACAAATGTGAAATCTTCTGCAGCCTTCCTCTGGATCCTGAGTGAGAGAAAGCACAACCCAGTGTACAATGACCACCACAACAGATGTAGCATCAGAAAACCTTGCCTTCAGGAATATACTGTTACAACAAACCTGAAATATACAACATACAGCAAGACACATGTTTTTTTTTTTCATTGATGAGATGCTACATAACCGTTGATATACTACAGTTTTGATGGCGGTTTATGATGATGTCATCTCCAGTCACTCTGGTAATGACATTGTGACCTCTGACCCCGGGCAAAGCCAGCAAGCACAAGCCTGGAGACCTGAAGCCAACCGTTTGACCAATGAGAGGGCAGAACCTTTAGTATGTCACAAAATGTGGTCATCTTTCAGTAGAAACAAAGTGTTTATTGTGTGATTTTCTATCATATTAAGTGAGAGGTATTTGTCAGGCTGTGCCTGGAACTTAATCAAGATATCAGAGCACTTTGAGACAGATCAGACCCATTTATTTCATATTCTGTTGAATAGCTGAGATGTAGACAGAGAAAAAATACCTATATTAGGTAAGTGCTGTCAGAATCATTTTTTTTCTTCTTCTATTTTCTGTGTTCAAAGTATAAATATTTTTTGTTGATTTCTTATCATTTTGCTTTAATTTTTGCATTTCCGTTCAGCTGAGCGCACAGGGTACAAAGAGATATGGCTTTTTTTCTTTTTAGCTATTTTAGGCCATATTCAATATTTTTAAAAAAATAGTCAGAGATGCCAGTGCTAATGGTCCAAGAACATGTATTTGACAATAGATTTATTTGTTTAAAAATAATAACATTTATTATATCGGCATGCTTTTCTCAAACAGCAGTGTTATTATTGTTATTATTAGAACAGCATTGTGTTTACTGTATGAAATATAGATATTTAGGATATGCGCAAGCCATAACTTGAACAAACTTGAAGCATTGATACTAAAATGTCACCTCAGAGATATATATATATATATAAAAATCATAAGCAATATCCAAAACATGCAAGAAGCCTATAGTATTTTGTTTTGAGCCCTTTTGAAAACGATAGAATACTTAGTCATTTACTGCAACACGCTGAAAATCTCACCCACGTTTCCTTTCATAAGCATGCTGCTATGTGAATTTCATCTTCAAGCTTCATGCTTCCTGTAAATTAGAGCCTTTTTAAAATGGCATTCATACTACCATTCAAAAGTTTGAGGCCAGTAAGATTTTTTTTTAAGCAATTAATACTTTTATTTAGAAAGGAACACTCCACTATTTTTGAAAATAGGCTCATTTTCCAACTCCCCTAGAGTTAAACAGTTGAGTTTTACCGTTTTCGAATCCATTCAGCCGATCTCCGGGTCTGGCGGTAGCACTTTTAGCTGTAGCTTAGCATAGATCATTGAATCTGATTAGACCGTTAGCATCTCGCTCAAAAATGACCAAAGAGTTTCTATATTTTTGCTGCCGTACCATGGGTGCAGCAGGCGCAATGATATTACGCAGCGCCTAATACCTAATACCGAATACCTAAACCGCTGCACCCATGGTACGGCAGCAAAGTTCCTTGATTATTACGCCGGAATGAGAGTATGCCCTAGCCATATCGGCCTAGAAAATCGCAACTTTTCATTTTCCGTCGGTCTTAGTACACGATGTAACTACAGAAGAGTCAAGTTTTAAATAGGAAAAATATAGAAACTCTTTGGTCATTTTTGAGCGAGATGCTAACGGTCTAATCAGATTCAATGATCTATGCTAAGCTACAGCTAAAAGTGCTACCGCCAGACCCGGAGATCAGCTGAATGGATTCGAAAACGGTAAAACTCAACTGTTTAACTCTAGGGGAGTTGGAAAATGAGCCTCATTTCAAACATAGTGGAGTGTTCCTTTAAATTGATAAAAAAGTGGCAGGAAATGTATTTTATAATGTCACAAAAAAATTCTATTTGAAATAAATACTGCCTATTTGAACATCAAATAATCTTTAAAAAAGCAGATATTTAATAATAAATATTAATAAGAAGAAGAAATGTTTTTTGAGCAGCAAATCAGCATATTAGATTGATTTCTGAAGGATTCTGTGACACTGAAGAATGGCGTAATGATGCTGAAAATTCAGCTTTGCACCAGATAAATAAATTACATTTTAAAGCATATTTAGAGAGAAAATAGTTATTTTAATTTGTAATAATATTTCACAGTATTAGTGTTTTTACTGCATTTTCAATCAAATAAATGCACACTTGTTGGGTATAAGAGACTTTTTTTCAAAACAAAAAATCTTACTGACCTCAAACTCTTGACCAGAAGTGTACAATCACTCAAATATCAGAAAAATATCTGAGCTGCCATCACTGGTTCACTGCCATGATTTTCCCAGCATGCCGTGTTCATGACAAACTAACCAATCAGCTCATCCCTGCCAACAACAGGTCACATGATTACATTATGCCAGGGGATTATACATAGGATGTGTTTAGCATGAAAGGCTGTTTTTTTACAGAGTATGTCGAGTTAATACCTCTCTCCTGCATGCACGCAGCAGACACTGGTGATATGTAGAGACTGTTGGGCCACGAGCGAGACTCTTTTTGCCTCTATGCTAACAGTGACCAACCACACCACCAGGAAGTCGAACACAGAAAGCACAAAGACTCAGGCTGGAAACCACTGGATGTCTGTTTCTTTTCCCTTGATATTTACCCCTATATTTAATAGCAATAACCAAGCTAGCCCCTTTTATAAAGTTGCTTTGCATCTTGATGATCTGGAGTGAACTGAATGTGCCTGCTTGCTTTCAGGTCACATGGACACTTTGTGTTGTGCAATACTTTGAGCTAAAGTCACTGTACGGAGAGCACATGCTGACAGGGAAAAAGACAGAAAGAAGAGGGACCAGCACTTTTTACGTCACTGTGCTGCATTGCAGGGTGGGCCAAGTGACGCTTGCTGACGTCTGGATCAACCCCTCCAAACAAACACATCCACTGATTGACTCAGCTGCTTTAGACAAGACATCCACCGAAACGACACATTCAGTGATGTGTATATTTAAGCCTTAAACTGTGGGTATTTGCTAAAGACGTTTAGAAAATCCTCTCCAGCTTTCGCTCTCTGTACAGTGAGTTGGCCGAAGGATAGATATACGTTTCTACAGAGTTTACAAAGACTTCTATTTGAAAACACCTGATGAATTGTGTATGACTTTACAAAAAAAAATGATGCTCTGATTATATAAGGACATATATATAAAGAGAATATCAAATGTTCTATTAAGTCTTGATGTGGTATTTTAGAATGAGAAGTACCACAGACCTCCCAATAAATTAAGATTTGACTCAAATTTGTCTTGGAAAGCATCATTTTTGTTCAAATGCAGTAAATGAACAATTTTAAGCAATATAGCAACACCAAAGGTTTATTATGGTGTTCCTGAGCTCATAGTCCTGTTATGGAGCATCCATATCAACAAATTTAACTTCAGTTACATGAGTGAAAATAAAGTTCATTGAGGTCGAACACCTGCTGGACTATTTCAGGATGATAACCTTTGCTGGGTGTTATTTTAAGGTGGAACACATTCTTTGAATATGCTTATCATAAAGTGTGTTCTGCCACCCGATCAGTCAGAATCTGCGACATTGAAGGCCTATCGTCATATCTGTGCCTGTTAAATGGCAGATTCTTAAACTTTTGCTCCCTAAAGTTAAAAATGTTTTTTTTAATGGCTTTGCAGAGTGAAAAGTTACTTACAGCTCACTCAAAAATGAAAATCTGAATCCGAAAATGTACTCACCTCAGGCCATCCAAGATGTAGATCTGTTTCTGTATCAGATATGGAGACATTTTATCATTACATCACTTGCTCACCAGTGGATCCTCTGCAGTGAATGGGTGCCGTCAGAATGAGAGTTCAAACAGCTGCTAAAAACATCACAACAATCTGCAAGTAATCCATACGACTCCAGTCTATCAACTGACGTCTTTTGGAGCGAAAAGCTGCACATTTTTAAGAAACAAAACCATTTTTAAGGGTTTTTTATCTTCAAGCTGTGACTTCCAGTTAAAATACGAGTCCTCTATCCATAATCAGGAGAGAAATATGCACAGATCAAGCAGTGTTTACAAGCGACAACAGTCTAGGACAGTTCTAAACAAATATGACAGTGGATTTTGATGCGAGACAACAGGTACTGCTTTGTTTCTTACAAACATGCAAATTTTCACGTCACAGAATGTTAGTTAATGGACTGGAGTGGTGTGAATTACTTGTGGATTATTGTGATGTGTTTATCAGCTGTTTGGACTCTCATTCTGACGGCACCCATTCACTGCAGAGGATCCAATGGTGATCCAGCGATGTAATGCGAAATTTTTCCAAATCCGTTCTTATGAAGAAACAAACCTTGTCACAGTAAGTTTAAAATTGACATGCTTATAATATGAATAGATAACAGAGTAAATTCTAGTGACTATCACTCTCTGTGTGCAGTTAATAAATCACACATTTTAAAGTAATACACCATGGATTTATCTTTAAAAAAAATTATTTGCCAACCCTGTTATAGTCAAACTTTACAAAGTTGAACATTAGAGGGTTTGAAAAGAATTGAAGGTGCAAAAGTAGCCTTAACTAACAAACTTCATCTCATTACTCAGTGTTTGTTTTGTGTCAGAAAAGCTGCAAACTTTCACTTTTGACCAGCATCCTTGCTGAATACAAGTATTGATTTCTTAATGATACCCCAAACTTCTGAATGATACTATAAATATACTACCACTAGTCACTGGGACATGTGACTTGGGCTAACAAAACACACCAGAAAACATGTTTGTTTACTTCATTTATTTTAATGCACTTTGATTAGTATATTTGTGCTCAACGAGTTTTAATACTCCTAGAGGGTTGATCTTTTGCGACTAAGCTGGGTGGGAGAGTAATGTACTTGGACTAATGGCTGCACGTTCATTAAACGGTCCTGCAGTGCACAAATGAGCCTGAACACAACACAAGAACACAGCAGTGAAAGTGATGGACCAGAATCAGCACATTAAAAAGACATCAGAAAAAAAAAGTGCAAAACAACGCCTGGGCTCTTCACAACCCAGAATTTCCAGAACATCAAAGACGAAAAGCTTAAAGGAATATTCAACCCACATATCACTTTTCTGTATAATTCACTCTTTCAGTTGTCAGAGATCCAATATCCCAGAATGCACCACTTCACAGACCACAAGCCATTTAATTTGAGGTAAGAGCATCAGGAATTGACAGTTAAACACAATCTAATGCCCCCATCATTCAAGTTCTAGAGTCGTCTCTGTGTGCATGTTTTAAGAATACAGACACATAGATCATAAAACATGCACATTGTCCTTCAGTTCAGCACTCAATACAATGAAATTTTCAGACACGATGATAAAATTCAACAAGTTAATAAAGGCTAGTTTCTACCTGTTCCACCCACTAACACAAAAGTTGCCTATAACTCTGATCCAGTCACATTAACCGGTTTAAATTTAACCTAAGACCATGAAGAATCATAAAATCAGTGAAGCTGGACCTTCAGGTTAATGAAATCTAGAGAGAGTCATTTGGTTTACTGTAAATCCCACCACAAAGTGCTTATTCATAGAAACAAGATTTAAATTAACACCACGGATAATATTTCAACATACTCTCTTCTGAAAACACAGGAGAAAGGCGAAGGGAAATATATATATATATTTATATATCTTCTGGGACCGTTTCATTTCTTTATAATTACAGTTAAAATAGAATGTTGAAATACTGATGAGTAAATTAGACCAGCAAATCTGGTGAGTGAAGGTGTGTATCAGTGTGTGTGTGTGCGTGTCTATGTTCCTGTGGACACACACAAACACAAACAGGAAGTGTGGTAAAGGTGCTTATTGGACTGTAGTGACAGCCTCATTAATGGACTCGGCCACATAGTCGATGTTCTTGGTGGTGAGGCCACACATGTTGATGCGACCGCTCGCCATTAGATAAATGTGCTTTTCTTTCACCAGGTACTCCACCTGCTTAGCTGTAAAATAGAAAATAACATTTTGAAATGGTTAAGTAACATTTTATGTAAATTTGAAAAGGACACATTGCATTAATTAACAAAATATCAAACTAAGTGGCCACTGCAAACAAAATATGCCCTTTTCCATTACTAGCTTTTAACTACTTTTTCCAGT